AGCGCCATTCTACTCAAAGAACACAACTTGAAGAATCCCAAGCTTCACAAGCTTCATATCCTCGAAACGAAAATTACCGTGATCTTTCTTTGATAATACAATACCATAGTCAAAAACATTGTAAATCCATTTTTGCCATTTAACTCAGGCACATTCACTTTAATACTCAGTAATGGATGGTGCTGACTGAAGTGGACCACAAAGTCATCCATCTCGTGTGATTTATAACTACAGTGGAAGCATTTGTACCGAGGACCTGAAATACAATGTTTCGATGTGCAGTGGTAACTGGTGATAGCCATATTTTTTCAGTTTCATTTATTGTTCACAACAAAATGATTCACATAAATGATGCAGATTGTATGTTTATTATTTTTTCATCAGCACGTCATAAACTCGACGATATAATCGGATCTCAACAGATTTTACTCAAGTAATGTTCGGATTCTGAGATCCTTTACTCAAGATATTTTCGGATCTTTATCATATTACTCGTCGATCACATCGGGTCCGATGTCCGATAACCTCGGATCTTTTAGGACAAAGTTTAAGTGAAGATTTTGCTGTTCAAAAGTGCTATTTTGACCTAATATTTTGACACTTAATATATTATGCATATGCACATCCATTTACCGACCCAAGTATGTCTTATGTATGGCTATTATCAATTAAAGCGAGTATGAATGAGAAAAACAAATCGAAAACCATAATACGTTTACCTTATCTCTTAATTTGGACATAAAAATATATTTCAACTATAATTCTAGGCCAATTGCGCCTGCTAGAACATCTTAGTAACAACTCTAACCATCCAAAGGAATTGTGAGTGACATTATATTACCTTTATTGTCCATTTTCCTACGAGATGACATTATCAAACATTTGCTCGGCGGTATGTGCGTGTCTTGCTCGGCGGTAGGTTGTATATACACGGGTACTCTTTCCCCTCGTGTATAAGTCAAGTTGCAGATTATAATTTGGCACAAAGCTAGAAAATATAGTCTAGTTTTAATAAGTTTCTTCGATTTGGAATTTGTTTTGTAAATGAAGTTGCAATTCATATATTTAGCCCCTCACTTTTGTTACATTGACGAAAGTCCGTTATATTAACAATATTGTTACTTTGACGACTTACGTCAATGTAACAAGGGCGGTTGTCTAAATGCATGAATAACAGCTTTATTTAAAAATCAAATTCCAAACCGAGGGCATTTCTAAAAACTAGACTATATTGTCTGACTTTGTACCAGCATATGATAATCCGCAACATGACTTATACACAACAAACAAACAACTCGTATCCAAGAAGTTCATCCATTTTGTTACATTGACGTCTCGTCAAAATAACTAGTTGTGAAATACTGATAGTGCCACGGGGTAAATGCCTAACTTAAGTCTCAGTCACATTTACGGTCAGTCACAGTCACTCAGTCACTCTACGGCGACCGATCGATATAGTAAGACTATATCTAACTGCTCATCTCGATATTTTATGCTCCATATTGCTCTCGATTTTGGGAAGCTACGACCGCCGTACGGATACCGTACATCAAATATGATTCCTTATGTAATGTGTGTTTGCTTATTTTACATCTCAACACGTTTTCATAAATTCGTTGTATTACATTCTGATAATCATCAAATCTTTCGCTTCACAAGACATGTGCTTTAATATTATTAGACATATTATGTGATCTGAGCTCAACTGATGGGAAGATTTAGAACTGTCAATAAGCATCTTCGAATTCCAAGGTGGCTGTAACACACATTGGATGAAAATGCTTATTTTCCTAGCCTGTTACTGTGTGGTGTTACATCCATTTAGATTTCGTGACGTGATGTCTTTACTTTGAGAATACTTTAAGCGTTTTGTTTTGTTTTGTTTACTCAGTAAACTCGGTGAAAACATTCTTAAATTATCAAAATGAAGTTGGATGATGTTAAACCTTGTGAATCCTGATGGTTACTATGTCCATACATACAATATATAATATAATAGGCATTGTATGTATCCTCAATTCATTTCCATTTAATTATTAGCTATTCACTCAGGCACAGGTGAATAACTGAATATAATGTATAAGCCTCACAAGTTCTAGGAGTCCTAATTACATGAAATTTAAGTTGAGATGAAAGATCTCGAAATACCTCATCGAATCCGAGCTCTCTTGGTACACCAAATTAGTCCATTATATCATAGCATCGTATTGCTAAGAAGTTATTATTTGAAAAACTGAAAGATGGGATGAGTATAAAAATGTATCCTGTTGTATTCTTATTAACTAACGTTTTGATTTCACCGGCGTGTGTTTTTGTGTATTGATTTCATTGGCGCTGTGTTTTTGTGTTTTTATTTCATTGGCGTATGTTTTGTGTTTTTATTTCTTTGGCGTGTGTTTTTATTTTTTTATTTCATTGGCGTGTGTTTGTGTTTTTATTTCATAGGCGTGTGTTTTTGTATTTCGATTTCTTTGGCGTTTGTTTGTGTGTTTTTATTTCATTGGCGAGTGTTTGTGTTTTTATTTCATCGGCGAGTGTTTGTGTGTTTTGGTTTCATTGGAGTGTGTTTTGTCTTTTATATTTTAGGTTTCAATTCCAAATACTATATTTCGCTTTTGTTATATCACTCGTCTTAAATCACATGTCTGTAAGGATCTGTTAATGTTTGCTATTAAACTGACATATCATGCTTAAACTGACATCTCATGTTTGATTATTCAAATGTGCAATGGCCATCGATATATCTTATTCATGAACGTTGCAATAAATTACAATTCCCTTCATGAAAATTACGAGCAAATTTTATCTTGGTCATGATCAACTGTCAAAGTGCCTGGGTTCCTGGCATAATGTATTGTGTTTTCTATATAAAGATTAACTTTATTTCTTGCTTATTTCTTTGTTTTTGCTCGTTTTACGCAAGACTGTGTTGATTTGCATGTAAGGATTATTCAATGGAACTAAACGACCATTTGAAGGAGCATAAATATTAAATATATTAGTCGTTGTTGCATTGATTTTTCTGCTGCACGTAGGATCTGACACTTTTAAAGAATGTATTCATCAAACAAACCCAGACATATGTTGTCAATGTTTGTTTGATGAAAACATTCTATTAACGTATATATTACAAATTCAAAAATAAAAAAGCACTGAAACTTTAATAGTTAAGTAGTTGAAACAGTTAAAGAGGTCATAGTTCTGAGACTTAAATAGTTATTATAGTAGTTGAAACAGTAAAAGAGGCAATAGTACTGAGACTTTAATAATTTAGTATATAGTTAAAATAGTAAAAGAGGTAATAATACCGAGACTTTAATAATTTAGTATATAGTTAAAATAGTACAAGAGGTAACGGTACTGAGGCTTTAATAATTTAGTATATAGTTAAAATAGTACAAGAGGTAACGGTAGTGAGACTTTAATAATTCAGTATATAGTTAAAATAGTAAAAGAGGTAACGGTACTGAGGCTTTAATAATTTAGTATATAGTTAAAATAGTACAAGAGGTAACGGTACTGAGGCTTTAATAATTCAGTATATAGTTAAAATAGTACAAGAGGTAACGGTACTGAGGCTTTAATAATTTAGTATATAGTTAAAATAGTACAAGAGGTAACGGTACTGAGGCTTTAATAATTTAGTATATAGTTAAAATAGTACAAGAGGTAACGGTACTGAGGCTTTAATAATTTAGTATATAGTTAAAATAGTACAAGAGGTAACGGTAGTGAGACTTTAATAATTCAGTATATAGTTAAAATAGTAAAAGAGGTAACGGTACTGAGGCTTTAATAATTTAGTATATAGTTAAAATAGTACAAGAGGTAACGGTACTGAGGCTTTAATAATTCAGTATATAGTTAAAATAGTAAAAGAGGTAACGGTACTGAGGCTTTAATAATTTAGTATATAGTTAAAATAGTACAAGAGGTAACGGTACTGAGGCTTTAATAATTTAGTATATAGTTAAAATAGTACAAGAGGTAACGGTACTGAGGCTTTTATAATTCAGTATATAGTTAAAATAGTACAAGAGGTAATAGTACTGAGACTTTAATAATTTAGCATATAGTTAAAATATTAAAAGAGGTAATAGTACTGAGACTTTAATAATTTAGTATATAGTTAAAATAGTAAAAGAGGTAATAGTACTGAGACTTTAATAATTTAATATATAGTTAAAATAGTAAAAGAGGTAATGGTACTGAGGCTTTAATAAGTAGTTAAAACAGGAAAGAGGTAATAGTACTGAGACTTAAACTTTTAAAACATTGAGAATTAAAAAGTGTAAAAAAAGAAATGAGAATGAAGTTATCTCAAAATTAAAAGCATTGAGATTGGAATTCTAAATCATTTGAATACAGAAAACCCCTGAAGATGAAGTACACTGAATTGGAACCGGCCAATAGTATTTGGATTGGAAAGTCTTAAACTTTTGAGGTTTTTATCATGGGAGTCTCTTGAAGATAAAAATAATAGTAGTCTATAGGACCGAAAGGCAAGTGCATGTTCAGATATACCAGTTATATTTATATTGTTTCGAAATAGGAAAGCAATGAGAGTTCGGTAATTTGAAAATAAGAGAGCATTAAAATATAAAAAAACAAGAAGTCACTTTGATCTACATTTAAAAAGCAAACAGAGAACAAATAATTTCCTTTGTTTTGCTTTAATTAACTTTACTTTGCTTTGCTTTACTTTACTTAACTCTGACTTTACTTTACTTTGCTTTTCTTTGCTTTACTTTGCTTTGCTTTACTTTAATTTACTTTACTTTGCTTTGTTTTGCTTTACTTAACTCTGACTTTACTTTACTTTGCTTTTCTTTGCTTTGCTTTGCTTTAATTTACTTTACTTTGCTTTGTTCTGCTTTACCTTTCTTTGGTTTACTTTAAAAATAATCAAAAACTGAACACTCTCCTTAAATAACCTGATAAACAAACGACCATACAAACAATATTTCTTTGAGTTTTTGTTTTTCGCAATATTGACTTACCAGACTCGGGACCCAAGTGAGCACGAATATCACTGCAATTATTCCCATAACTTTGGCAAATCGATTTTCCAATTGAATATTAGCTATACCTACAAAACAGATGTAAACAATTTATAGTTAATACAAATATCACTGCAATTATTCCCATAACTTTGGCAAATCGATTTTCCAATTGAATATTAGCTATACCTACAAAACAGATGTAAACAATTTATAGTTAATACGAATACCACTGCAATTATTCCCATAACTTTGGCAAATCGATTTTCCAATGGAATATTAGCTATACCTACAAAACAGATGTAAACAATTTATAGTTAATACGAATATCACTGCAATTATTCCCATAACTTTGGTAAATCGATTTTCCAATTGAATATTAGCTATACCTACAAAACAGATGTAAACAATTTATAGTTAATTCGAATATCACTGCAATTATTCCCATAATTTTGGCAAATCGATTTTCCAATTGAATATTAGCTATACCTACAAAACAGATGTAAACAATTTATAGTTAATTCGAATATCACTGCAATTATTCCCATAATTTTGGCAACCATATTCTCAAATTGTATATTAGCTATACCTGCAAATCAAGTAAAAACAATTCATAGTTCGTGATTAACTAGATAAAAGTAACGCAAAAGCGTGGCAAATTCCATCACACAGCTATGGCTGCTATTTTTGAAATGACCAAATTGTGACAGTGTTATATTCACATATAATTTTTTACAAAATTGCTCCAATTCTTCGATTAAAGCAACAAGACACACTTTGGTCAATAGAGTACCATTGTAGACAGACACGATTTCAGGACGGAAAAAATCCAAAATGGCTACCTTAATATTTTCCAAGAATGCCCAAAAACAAATTATTTCTAAATATTCATACGTAGAAACATCCCTAAAAATTTCAGATGAATCCCTGAAACGGTTTGGCTGGAAACCTGTAGAAAAGCCTCGGAAAATTTTAGGACGAAAAATGTAAAATGGCCACCTCAACACTTACCAAGAATAGCCGAAAACTAATGAGTTCTAAACTTTCATACGTACAAACATCCCTTAAAAGTTCATATGGATCCCTCAAACAGTTTGGCTTGAAACCTGGAGACAAGATTTCGAGACGACCGACCACCACGCACATACGCCCGTTCGGCAAACTGATTACAATATTGCCCCAAATGATGCTATAAATACGTAAAATAATACAATCAAAATGGCCAGTCCACATTTTTTCAAAATTGCCCCTTGCTTCCCAAAATAACATTGGAAAGTGTAAGTAGTCACCTATAGAATTTCTACAAAGTCGCACCAATTACTATTACACTCCGAGTTATAGTAATAAACGTAAAAACGTAAAATAAAACACATAAAGATGGCAGCAACTTTTCAAAATGACCGCCTTCTAGCCAAATGACCAAAAGACAATGTACTGTACAATGGACCCTGCATTTGAGTAATATTCGCATGCATTTTTAGGAACTCAGTGGTGAGCAGGAGGAGTTGACACTTTTTTTGAACGATGATTAGTTGAGATACCAGGGGTGTGTAGCTACTTGAGTTTAGTTATTTATGGGTGTTCATAGCAATGAATTTTTTGTAACGGTGTTAATCTTTATTTGTACTCGAATTAGATGACACAAATCCGAGAATGAATTTTATTTATATTTACATTGGGGTATTCCAAATTGCCTGTAAGAGTAAAGGTCTGACATTTATACACGATGCCCAGGAAAGTCCTTCACCCATATTACTGTCAGCTAGGGTCAATACTTATCTAGCTACAATCCATCGTGCCCCCCCCCCCCCACTACACTGTGTGAGAAGGCGTGTGAGAAGGTAGAGGGGGTTCACAGAGGCTTGTAGCTAGACTAGGTCTCAATACCTCAATACGAGTCCCGATGGGCATATGAAAGAGTAAATGGCCGTACATCTAAGGTATTCAGTATTTCGACTGGCGGTTAACGGTTTTACCAACTTCTTATGGCCAGCTCATTGAACTATTGATAAAATAATGGCAGGTATATTTGTATTACTAATATCTAAATGAGTTGGCCATAAACTTATAGTATATATTTGAAGAGGCTCTAATAACATTTAAATTTTTATCAAACCAATACCAGAATTCACGATTCAAATGTAGAAGTGAACAAAATGGCGACTGTTTGAATTCGAATTTTGAATCACGACATCTCCATATACGGGACAGAATACCAATGTTGTAAGCTTGGAGCCAATCGTCCTTGGTCTCCACAGAATGACCAAAAAGGCCAGGGGTTGACAATTTTGAAGTCTTAGTGTCAATTTAATTTCAATTTCATGTTACAATGTCAAGGTCAGGTTAAATTTCATGGGTCAATATATGCGGATCGCATAACAATGATCCTTGAAAACATGTTTAATCTAAGGCTTCACATTTAGCTTAAGGTTACAAAAATAGTGAGTGTCACATTTGGAGGATCGTTAGAGTTTCTAAATAGCTTTGAAATCTCGCTAATTCTCGCTTTTTCATGAGATTTTTAAAGATTTGCACTTTTTACCTCTAATGACTTACTTTTCTTTATTTTTGACAGCATATTTGAATTCAGTAACAAAAACAGTTTGATTTACATAGTTATGTCATTTTTAAATCATTTTCCATGACATTTTAAAAAGTCTCCATTGGTGCAATGCTAAAATTCATTAAAACCTTGTTTTATGTTTTATTTGTATGACACCCAACATTTTTATGTTTAAGCACTATACATTGACAGGGTCATCTAATTGTATGCCATTCAAGATCCAGACAGATTCAACCAACGTTTTTTGATAAATCATAAAATCAAGTGACTATTGCAAGTTTCTAGCATTGAAGTGAAATGAGGTCTGGCCCAAGAAAATCAAAGATAAACAAGGGTGACATCTATTATGTAGGCGTTATTCAGCTATTTAGAAACTAATCAATTAAAGGGTCAATATAAAGGTATTTCATGTTGTTGTGATTTTAGGGTCACTAACAAGATCTTGGAAAACAAACTTTGCACACCTACATGTAAGAGTTCCCGCCTCTTAATTGGCACCCTAGTTCTAGTATTTATACAGGTTGGTTGTTTTTAATTTTATATATTATTCTAACTATCCAGCTGACTGGTCTATGTTAAGTCATACTTAATAGGTCTGTTGCGATCAATAGAATCATTTATTCTCAAGTACCCCATGTACTAAAGTAAATAATGATAATGGATATCTCACCTAATCTTTTGAATGACTTTTTGCGAAGAACGATGATAATATGGATGTTACAGACAAGCAGTACGGCGATCCCGATAGTGAGCATAACGGCGATTCCAATCGTGTAGGGGTAGGGGTACGCGCCGGGTATTTCAACCCGTGTGTGATTTATTACCATATAAGGAGCCGTCATGGCACAGTACCACCCGGGTTTCAAATCAACTGGGTAGATGACAAGAGATATGGAAGAACCTAGTAAACAGAATAATCCAAGTCCTCCAATCGTCAGCTTCATTTTCAGTGTAGTCATATGTACCTGGTGGTAGAAAGGTTTAATAATCGCCAACCAACGCTCCACACTCATCAATACGATGATCGCAAATGTCGTGTAGATGTACCATGCTTTTGCAACGGCATGGTATCTGCATAGATGCGGCCATGGAATCCATTCCTGGCGAATCTCTGCGATTATTGACCATGTAAAGACTACGACTGCTGTTAGCACATCGTTTAACGCTAGTCCACCAACTAAGACATCGGGTATGGAATGTCTGAACTGCATAAGACGAATGACAATCACGCATGTCAAAAAGTTGCCAATATACGAGAAAGGCATAAAAACGCCATAGTAAACGATATGGAACCACGTAGGACAATAAACATGGTCGATCGGCACAACCCCGATGTCAGCATCATTTTGAAACAACATATTATTGACGTCTATCAAATAGTTGTGACACTGCTATTATTGTTCCAACTTTATTGTCCCATCACAACAGATTCTCTGTCCATCTCGAGAAATTCTTCCTTTAAACCGATTCCTGTGCTTTTTTCTATCTTTAATTAAGTTCGGTACATATTGATTGTGTCGGTTTCCTTCTGATCTAATACTTCTTTTATGACCTTCTACTTTTAATTCCAAAAGTTGCTGTTTACGTCCTGCTTGGTCAACGGGTGCTTGATAAACTTGAAAACCTTATGAAATTGTCTTTTTATCCGTAAGCACACTCTCAGCAAATATCCTGTTGCGCGCACCTTACGAAACGCTCTACTGCATCAGTTATAATTCTTCGATAAATGAGATTTAACGTTCTAGTCTAATGAAATTACGTATATTGTTTTTATGTGGCTCCATCACTATTCTAAAAGTTAGCCAGAGCAATCCCATTTATTTCACCCCGAACTGGATCAAACCTAGCTGCTATTAAAGTAATAGTTGTTTATTTTTATTCTGATTTCTTCTCTATCATAACTTTTAATTATTCAAAATGTTTGAACAGCTTGATCTCAAAGTTCAAAGTTTGAACATTCCATGTTAATATATATGTAATATTATTATTCCTTCGTCAAATATTGGCAAAGAGCTTATCTTCTGATATGCGTCTTAATATCGCAACGCTCGCTGATCTTGTATTCCATTTATCAGGCATCGGTACACTTTTACAAGGAGCTCCCTAGAGGGAAATTTCAACTGGCCGTGCACTTTTATTTATCTATCAGAACAAGATATAATTTTAGCACAGACGAATTATGACTTAAAAAGAAATGCAAACATCGTATATGTTAATTTGTGTATAGATGCATTTCAGTTCTATCAGATGAAATGAAATGGAGAAGAATCGATGGGGACTAGTAATGATATTCTACGGCAGGATCTAAAGCTAAAGCTAAATTGCACCTGGTAAAACACGTGCATTCAAAAATATGTTATATGCAATGACGTGTCGCAAAAAGCTCGCGCACGCATTGTTACACATTTTGTGGCGTAATTCAGAGGATCCTCGCCTTTAACATGATAGAATGTGACGTTTTTGAGAAAAATGTACACACATGAAAATCCTTTCGTCCTCCACATTTACCTCTATATCTGAAAACATTTTAGACGAATAACTCTGATATCATATATATATTGTTAATGGGCTAGGAGCATCATAAAACACGAATCAATTGATATTTTAGGTGAAATAAATATACGTGTTGCTGTGCTTGAAAATAGGCGAATGGCGTAAATTAGCCCTATTTTAATGAATTTTGAAAACCTTTCGTCCTCCACTTTTCCACATACAACAGAAAACACATACTTTTGTGAACAAAATCAACTATTTATTAATAAACTAGAGTTTAGGAGCAAAATAATCATGTATGGTTTATTAAAAATTGATCTCGTATTTTTTGTTTAATGTACACCTGAAAAGTTGAAGGTACCAAAAAATGAGCAAAAAAGGTCGCTGTCAACAGATTCTATTTTTAGACTCTATGACGTCAGAATATGGGACGCTTACTAAAATTCATCCTTTGAAATAAAACTTCCATCTACCTTTATCAAGACGAAAAATAAGTATAATAGTCATATATTGTTTGAGTTATGAGCGTTTAAAGACGAAAAATGATTCAAAATGTAACGTGTCAACATGGGATATTTGCCAGATGTTAAAAACCTTTTTTTTAAAAACGAACGCGCAGAAAATGTGAACGGAGTGTAGTTGATCTAAAATCTTCATCGAAACAGCTTTAAAGGAATATTCCTTGCCAGACCCTTTCTCTCTTGATATGGTAGCTATAATCATATATATAGTTTCCATATTTAGCAAAACATGGGAAAATGTTTGAATATGGTCAATATTGATCATTTAAAAATCTAGTGCTTATTTCCAGTGAGCTGCCATCTTTTAAGATTTCTTGCAGGAAGTGATGTCATCAACTCTCAACTTCTATGACCTTGCCCATAACAGTATAGGAAAGTAGCACAAAATCACTTCTAGACAAGTGATCATTACTTTCTGTGCAAAAATATTTTCAGGGCTTGTCAACTTAGAATAAAAGAAGAGATTTTCAGAAGGATTAAATAAGATACAAAGTTGAAAAAGAATATTTAGCTGGTTTTGTAATTCTTAATAGCTCCTCACCTAATGCTATATGCAAAGTTGAGAGTCGATGACATCACTTCCTGTGTGAAATTTTAAAAGATGGCAGCTTACTGGAATTGAGCATCACATTTCTAAGTGATCAAATTTGACCATATCAAAACATTTTTGCGTGTTTTGCTTAACATGGCAAGCATATATATGGTAATGGCTACAATATGAGGAGAGAGATGGTTTGGCAAGGAATATTCCTTTAAAATGATATATAATTTTAATTAGAATATTATCTTATAATCCGGGGAATCAAAGTTACATTCACGCGATACCCTTAAAAAACAAATGCGCCACCTTTTTGCGACACGTCAATGGTAATTTTAAGAGAAATGTAGTATTCTAAAAAGGCAAAACAAAAACATTTACTTCATAAAGATGTATATTCATGAAACTCGAACAGCTCAAGGAACTAGCACTCGTGGCATAAGTGCTCATGAGCGCGCTTTTTTATTTAAAGAGTACATATGGGGGATATAATAAAACAAATAGCGACAGTCACATTTTCGGGAAATAGTGTAAAAAATTTCCCCTCAGGAATATCCTGTCCACTGACATGTTCCCTCGGTATGAAGCCTCTGTCAGTGTGTGTCAGTGGACAGGATATTCCCTTGAGATTGTATGCACCCAATTGCATTCATGATACAATTACATTACGTATTCGTAAATGTTCACGATTCACCCAATTGTATTCATAATACAATTACATTACGTGATACAATGTCATTTTGGAATATACCGATAGATAATGGATTAATAGCCTCAGTTTTTCAAAAATGTTTTCATTTAAAAAAAGGAAATCTCTTATTTCTTTTTTTAACCACATCTATGTACTGTATGTATTGTTTCTCCTGCACTATGTCAGTCACCACTGAAAAGGGAATTTTACAGCAAGCTTACCTTTGAAAATATCCAATTTTGGTGACCAAAAGGAGCATGGAAAAATGGACCGCATGGAGTTTTCCCTATAGGAAAATAACATGAGATTCGTAAATGTTCACGCTGCACTCAATTGCATCCATGATACAATTACATTACGTATTCGTAAATGTTCACGCTGCACCCAATTGCATTCATGATTCAATTACATTACGTATTCGTAAATGTTCACGCTGCACTCAATTGCATCCATGATACAATTACATTACGTATTCGTAAATGTTCACGCTGCACCCAATTGCATTCATGATTCAATTACATTACGTATTCGTAAATGTTCACGCTGCACCCAATTGCATTCATGATACAATTACATTACATTTTCGTAAATGTTCACGCTGCACCCAATTGCATTCATGATTCAATTACATTACGTATTCGTAAATGTTCACGCTGCACCCAATTACATTCATGATTCAATTACACTACGTATTCGTAAATGTTCACGCTGCACCCAATTGCATCCATGATACAATTACATTACGTATTCGTAAATGTTCACGCTGCACCCAATTGCATTCATGATACAATTACATTGCGTATTTTTATTTTTATTTTATTTATTTCTTATTTGCACCGGATTGCATTCATGATTCAATTACATTACGTATTCGTAAATGTTCACGCTGCACCCAATTGCATTCATGATACAATTGCATTACGTATTCGTAAATGTTCACGCTGCACCCAATTGCATTCATGATTCAATTGCATAACGTACTCGTAAATGTTCACGCTGCACCCAATTGCATTCATGATACAATTGCATTACGTATTCGTAAATGTTCACGCTGCACCCAATTGCATTCATGATTCAATTGCATAACGTACTCGTAAATGTTCATGCTGCACCCAATTGCATTCATGATACAATTGCATTACGTATTCGTAAATGTTCACGCTGCACCCAATTGCATTCATGATTCAATTACATTACGTATTCGTAAATGTTCACGCTGCACCCAATTGCATTCATCATACAATTGCATTACGTATTCGTAAATGTTCACGCTGCACCCAATTGCATTCATGATTCAATTACATTACGGATTCGTAAATGTTCACGCTGCACCCAATTGCATTCATCATACAATTGCATTACGTATTCGTAAATGTTCACGCTGCACCCAATTGCATTCATGATTCAATTACATTACGGATTCGTAAATGTTCACGCTGCACCCAATTGCATTCACCATACAATTGCATTACGTATTCGTAAATGTTCACTCTGCACCCAATTGCATTCATGATTCAATTACATTACGTATTCGTAAATGTTCACGCTGCAACAAATTGTATTCATGATAAAATTACATTACGTATTCGTAAATGTTCACGATGCATCCAATTGCATTCATGATTCAATTACATTACGTATTCGTAAATGTTCACGATGCACCAAATTGCATTCATGATACAATTACATTACGTATTCGTAAATGTTCACGATGCATCCAATTGCATTCATGATTCAATTACATTACGTATTCGTAAATGTTCACGCTGCACCCAATTGCATTCATGATACAATTGCATTACGTATTCGTAAATGTTCACGCTGCACCCAATTGCATTCATGATACAATTGCATTACGTATTCGTAAATGTTCACGATGCATCCAATTGCATTCATGATTCAATTGCATTACGTATTCGTAAATGTTCACGCTGCACCCAATTGCATTTATAAGTCAATTACATTACGTATTCATTCATGATTCAATTACATTAGTACAGCGGCTCAAAGCACGTACTATAAAAATTATGAAATTGAAAACGAATCTATATATTGACTTATCAGAAGGAATCAACGTTTATGTGATATTTCTATAATCAAATGCGTCATCATATCCCTAATTACGCAAGTGATACGTCCAGTATAGTATCTATCAATTGGTCTTGTTACTCAATTTACTTCGATTTAATTATGTTACATATTCGTATTTAATTATGTTCACGTTGGGCACAATGTGAATTCATGATAATCAATAAATAATAATAAAAAATGGGCCCTGTGCGTCGAAGATATTCTAAAGTCTATAATATTGAAAATGGATGATGTAGCAGATAGACGGGTTAGTACGAAGTTACCCCCCCCCCATCATAGTCATACAAAACCAATTCTCATTCCGTCCAAAAATCAGGCTATGGTCGGTTTGTAAAGACGACGTAGTGTACCACGAACAATTTTTTACAGATTTATTTTCGACTGAGAGTATTGTTAGACCAAACATTTCTTGTTTTACATTAGAACAATATGTTATCTTCAAACTAAATGCACAAAAAATAAAAATGTCATTTCGGAATATACTGATAGATAATGGATTAATGGCCCATCTCCTCAGTTTTTCAAAAATGTTTTCATTAAAAAAGGAAATCTTTCCCGTTTTTCCCATGTTAACCATATCTATGTATGTAACGTTTCTCCTGCACTATGTCAGTAACCACTGAAAGGGGGATTGTACAGTAACCCTAATTTTGAAGATATTCAATTTTGGTGACCGGAGGGAGCATGAAGTCAATGGACCGCATGGAGTTTTACCTATGGGAAAATAACATGAGATTTGTCGTTTTCAACAGACACTGCACTACGTGCTCCTTTCCTAAAACACGACGATATTCATGATGTTAACAAAAAATGCATGAACTTCATTTATTAGAAGATCTTTATTAGAGAAAACTGACAACTTTTTTGAATGTCGAGATATCGGGCCAAGTACTTCAGAACGATTTATTTTGTTTTGAACGTATTTCCCGTAATTCAGACGATTTAGGTTTATTTGCAAATAAGATGAACGAGCTACAAAGGACACGGACGCCATCAAAATTTTAAATCAGGCAAGAAGTTAACACGTTCTCGCCTAATTGAATGAAGTGTATTTGGGGAACGTTTGAATATCCTAGCTTTACAAATAAAGATTTTACTAGTGTTGGGGGGGGGGGTGTTCGTATGACTTTTACCTCAGGGCTTCTAGGGTTAAAGTAAGTCAAAGGGTATTAATTCAATGTATTTCATTTTGAAACTGATATACAAATTAAATTACCCTTTTAAACTCTCGCTTAGTGTTCGGAGTTTTCAATTTGGTTTTTGTACCAAAATGTGTTAAATATGTAGATCAAGCCCTCTAGGAAAAACCATAGGGATTCATATGACATTTCTCTGTCAGGTTTAGGGTTCAATACCTGTAAGAGACACCACACTGATAGAATCTATGGCAGAATGTTTGAAATTGATTTTCCCAAGTGAAGCAGATTTTTATTCTAGAACGTTCGTGAATCGTGAAGATGTATTTGTTACTAATTAGAACTGACGGCTATAATGCCTTATAAGATACAGTTAATTTAGTTTTGAATAAAATAGCGAGCCTAAAGCGTCTCGAAAGATTTTTATTAAATGGTCAGGTTGTACTAATCAAACACGATGTGCGTAGATTAACTCAAACGTGACATGCATATCTACGCAGCAATCTTCAACGAGACACGCGGTAACAAATCACGTGAATAAATAGTGCGCTTAAGAAAGGGGAGAAATCAGAGATTCCAAGCAACAAGTCTCGAGGAATATACTCTTGTTCAACCAACATAGGCTCTGGTGAAAAACGTACAATTGCATAGCTGTTCATCATTTTGAAATCCATAAGACAAAAACTGATTTCTGAGTATTTACATGTATTATCAACATGCTAGACAGGATTAAACATTTTGGGCGCCGTAACCACGAGGTTGCGAGTTCGAGACGCGTGTGCTCCTTGTGTTTATTCATTTAAATACATGAAGTTGATACTTGCGACTTTGACGTCCGGTTGAACTACTCAACAGTTGCAATTTGAAATGCTCAACTCTCCCACACCACAATTAGTGTCTCTCTAAAATATCTAACGTTGCCACGACATAAGCTAAACATTGCAAAAAGAAACAGTAAAATGTTGCAACATTAAACACAACACATAATAGTGCCGCTAAATAAAGCACTGTCGCTTTAAAAGCATTGACAACTGGACAATGCCACTTTAAGAAGCGCTAAACAATGCCAATTTAAAAAAGTGCCACATTAAAGATCACTAAATGGTGCCAGTTTGTCATCCTGATACTCATAGTTTCTCTCTCTGTTGCATCGCAGAAGGATAGAGATGGAGAGGGCGTGGCTTACCACGATGCCAGTTTGTATTTAGATCCATGTCGCACCAGAAACTGCACTCAACAATAGCTTGGCAAACATGACAGTCGATGCAATCAAAACACAATGTAAAACATATGGACGGCAGAAACCTTTGACATGAATTGTTTCGTGGATAAAAGCAAGCTTCTGGTACATGATGAATATTTCATAAATTGCAAATGTCAATGATTGCGGTGAGCTACCTCAAACATAAATTGATATACATGTTTTATACTAGATCAGAGACATAATAACAACGCCGAGACAGATATACCGTGAGTCACTCATCACTGTTTTATATGTCTCTGACTAGATGTATTCCAGGCCCAGTTCTTCAAACACCCAACTTACTTCTTGACAAACTTTTAAAAGAAACTGAACACTCTTGAAAATTAAAGAGCAACAAAGGAGGTCAATACACTTAAAGGAGCAACATTGAAAATTAAAGACGAAGATTGGAGGCGAGGGGAGAAAAAAGATGATCCCCGTTTTCGATACTATTTAGAATTTGAGCATTTTTGCATCTTCAATCTCCAATAACTTCCATTTTTGATCGGATATCTCAATTTAAAAAAATATATATTTACATACTCTTCCAGATTATTTTCAACATTTTACACTCATTGGTTTTTGTTCCCACTAAATAATTGAGTGTTTTTTCTATTTTAGCCAATGCACCGAACGAAACCCATAATGAGTAGAATTTTAAGAACACAATTTATTAGACTAAGCTCCTGAATAATTTAAAAGGAATAATGTAAAGTTCAATAAACCCTGATATATCAGCTTACATGTGTCGCTCGTTGAATGATAAATTAAATGGAGTGTCTTTCCACTAGATTAGCACTCTGAAAGGTTTAGAAAATAAATAAATATTGTATGAATAATATCATTGGAATCGTCGTGAAAACTTTAACAAGGGTCAATGAGTATACTATTGGGCGGGGATAACGCAGATATACCGTCAACATATTACTGTATGGCCAAAGATAAACAAAATCATAAAGAGAGAGGATGGCTATCACCAGATGAATAGACTTTAACTGAGAAAATAGGCGTTAGGCAGAGAAAAAAGGAAAAAATGAGAAAACAGGCACAATGGTCAATGACCAGAGGGAATAGATGTGCTTACCGACTGAAGTTTACGCGAGATTGCTAAGTGTAACCAATTACTCGTTGACAATGCAAAGTGTCAACACCCCTTATGAAAATTGCAATGACTCATAAACAAGTTCATGGCGCAAAACATGATATTAAGATATTTAATGTATATTGCACTGCATTTAACTCTGGCTAATTTGCTTGTTGCCACAACGTCTAATATTTTTTATTGTCATCTATTTAGTAACCTCTGATGTTTATGGTTACCATAGTATTTAAATAAAGGTGTCCAGTCAAGAGTCAGTCTATGACGATTCATTTCAATGAGTGGAAGGGTCATTGACATACACCGTATCTTACGATTGACAATGTACAATAAAAGTAATAAAAATCTATGATATTATTAGTTTTTAATGAGAAAAAGGTAAATCCCATAATGAATATACATACAATATCATGCCAAATTATGATAGGCCTTGTATGAATTTATGATCCTGAAGTTTTATGCTCCTACAATTCCCACCACGTATTTGGGACATTTAACGGGTGTGGCTTTGAGCCAGAAGAAACACTGCCAGAATTGAAAAAAAAGCAATATATATCCTCCCTCCTCCTTAGAGATATGTTGAATATTGTCATGGACCGATTTCAAGTTCCTTCAAATTAAACCAATCTTTTGTGAACATCATGGTTTGTCAATAGTTCATATTTGACATTTGATTTCAGATATGACCTTTTGTTGACCTCGAGTCAAACGTGTCTCCTATAAACTAAATAAATTAGGATGTTTCAAATAATATGCGATAAGTTATTACAGCTGTATGTTAAATGAATGTTGGTATCTAGCTCAGGATCCTCCCTTCTGATGCAGCAGACTATAATGGTCCCAATTCTTATTGGTTTTTCTTTATTCCCAACCTTTTTGTTTTTTTCAACTCTATGGTTGTGCTTTGATATTATGCTGAAAAAACTGTTTATAACTTTATGTCAATTGAATATTAAAGCATCAAGAAAATCTTGCCTATTGAACGAAAGGTAAAAATAATATATGTCCAAATATATATAATATAATCCAAAGATTTTAACGAAAGATGTAACTTTCAACTTTAAGCCCAACAACAGAAATAATATTATTCTCTTGATTTTATTCAGCATTTATCAATTATATTATTATTATTATATTTTATGGGAAATGACTGAATCTCCCTCATAGAAAGAGGATTGACTCCCTCTTATGAGGGGATTGCCTCCCCTTTTAAAAAGGGGTTTATTCCCCCTCTTAGAATGGGATTGATTCTCCTCTTAGTAATACACTTGATAACATATACACCACTCCAACAGCCATTTTCAGCTTGTTTCATATTTCACAGATAGTGAATTTGACATTGTCTTGTGGAGGTTATCTATTGAGGTATTGTCCGTGTTAGTTGGGGTTTCTAAAGGAGAAGAAGCAGCTGCAAATAATGTCTCTAAAGTTCCCATTGTCTCTATGAGTTCTTTCATGTAAGACATTTCCATTTCAACAGTTTCTTTCAGTCTTTGTAAAGCTTGTTGTAGCTCCACACTGCTGCCTAGCCGGTCTGTGTAAAGTTCTGTAACACAATAATATAATATATGAATGTATAAATCAGCAATATATGAATGCATAAATCAGCAATATATGAATTTATAAATCAGCAATATATGAATGCATAAATCAGCAATACACGAATGCATAAATCAGCAATATATGAATGTATAAATCAGCAATACACGAATGCATAAATCAGCAATATATGAATGTATAAATCAGCAATACACGAATGCATAAATCAGCAATATATGAATTTATAAATCAGCAATATATGAATTTATAAATCAGCAATATATGAATGCATAAATGCAGCAATATATGAATGTATAAATCCGCAATATATGAATGCATAAATGCAGCAATATATGAATGTATAAATCAGCAATATATGAATGCATAAATCAGCAATATATGAACTTATAAGTCAGCAATATGAATGTATAAATGCAGCAATATATGACAGTATTATAATATAAATCAATGCATAAGAGTACAAAATATCAAGGGAACTTAACTGCCCCTAGCCATCAATGTTTTTAAAATACGCAAATAATAAGACTAATTGCACGCATGAAGGTGAACTTAATTTATTTATTTACGAAATATGACTTATAGTAAACGAGGCAAAAATGTGATGTCTGTGTACATTTGTGATTTTCAAGGAAGGGTAAATAGTAGAACTGGACTACCTGTATCTTTAGAAAGAGAACATAATATCAATCATTTAAAGAGAGAGAATAAAATAAATAAATGATAATAATGTTAATAAATATGTTTTTCTTTGCCGAGAACCATACTTTGTGTATTTTTAGAAAGAGGACCTTTTATCATTTAAAGAGAGAGACCTACTGTGTTGTTAATACATCATAATATCTTTCATTGTACAGGAACTACCTACGTAGAATTGAAACTATTTTTGATTTTATAATTCTAAAGTGACCTTAAGCTTTTGATTTTTTAAATGAATCCAAACTACTAAGGGTAAAAGACAACTCTAAAAAACAATTCCAGGGAATAGCAGTATACCAAAAAAAACCAAATTTTTGACATTGTTTCTCATCTAAAACATTTCATGATAGAAAAAGCTAGGCATCAAAGTTTTCAATAAAAGGACACATATCGGAGAACAGTTTCCAGGGGTTAATAATTGTTTTATGAAAAATAAAGAAATATCGCCCAAATTAGATTATGAATATTCAAAAGAGGACATTTAATATACAATATGTAAAAATATCAAAATTGTCCAAAGCGAGCGTAATGTGCAGTAGACTGATTAACTTTGTTCTCCAAACCGAGACTAGTCTTTTGTTTGGATTTTGATTTTTTTCTGTATACTAAACCACCGAAGACTACTCCCCTTGTATGTCCATTTTACATAAGGGATCAAAGGTAGCAGACAGTATATCTAAAAACAACTTTTGTTTATTTGACATATTTATTAAGTTCCCAGGAAATGCTGAAAAATTACACTTAATAAGAAGTTAAGCGGCAATTTCATCTTAATTTATCTCATATTCTTTATACTAAGGATAGACCTCTTTAAAATCAAGTCATCGTACAGTCACGGTTGTGCTGTATCTCTGCTACAAGATTAATTTGATTCTATACTGCTCTCTGATTGGTTATTACTATGTTAAGCCGATTTTCATTGGTCTACACTGACATTCCCCTATTTTCATGTTTAGAAATAAGATATTCACCAAAGCAATAAACTCCAGTTATGACTTTACTTCTATGACGTTCATTTATAAATACTGCTTGCACTTTTAATCTCTCTATGATAAATGATTTGTTCAGAAAAAAACTGGAGATAGGTATCTGCGCTCGAGATAGATATTTGCGCTCGAGAAAATATGAAAGTAGAAATATGAACGTTGTTTTGGTTCATAAGCTCATTTGAAAGGTCTCTTTGTGCTTTTTAAGATAAACAAAAAATCACAATATTGCAAAATCTTTGATAAGATCCCTTTTCCAAAATGTGTGACCATATAAAGAACGTTGGTCAAATTTGGCCGACGAACACTGATTGGCGCGGTGAGTTCACAGATTCCTTTTAGTTTGAAAGAGTGAAGACGAAGCTCTCTTTTAAGAAGTGAAGTCAAACGAATGCAAAGGGTACTTTTCCTGTGCCCTGGCTTAAATTATAAACAAGAGACGTATATTGCTAATAAGAGTGGCACTTACCAAGGACCATAGTGGAGACATCTATTAAAACAGGGGTGAACTGTGATTTGCAGATGAATCTAAAATAAAATAAAATGAAATATAAAGCATGCAGTTTTAGGGCATCAGCATATTAACATTTCATAAGTACATCAGTATTGCATTTTTAAGTAAAATGGAAGCATTTCGAATTGAAAATGTATGTATTCATGTATTGGAATATTTGAATGAACAGATGGATGGAAAATGACATTAAGAGACGTCTTTTAATCAAGAGCAAAATTAGATTTGATGACAAGCTAAATATAAATAGAATGTGTAAGAATCATAGAGTAGAGCTATCTTTAACATAAAAAAAGATGATTTTCATTAATTATACTCATTCTGTCTTTTACAGAAAAATTGTGCCTTTGCACAATAAAATTAATCTAATTCTGAATCTTCAAGCTCTTCTGAAATATATATATGTACCAAACTAAGAATACGATATATTTAGTAGCCCGGACACTTATAATATAAATAAATCAACAGGTTTTCCTTGAATTTTTTTTTATGTCAGAATTTTACTCTAGTTTTTCAAATAGGTAAAAGAAAAAAGTGACCCTTGAGCAATTCTGTCCTGGCTACTATATTTTGAGGAGGCACTTATTATAAAAATCAATATTTATCAAATATATTCACTTACTTTTGTATAAACTTTATAATTCTACAGATTGATTTTTCATCTCGTCCAGCCAGAGCTGGTTTGATTCCACCACGCCTAATTAGTTCTTGGATTACACTAATCGTGACCTCGGGAGTTTTACTGCGAACACGAATCTGGAATAATAATTTACATTGAATAATCATTATCTTAGCCTTACGCAAATTCACCAAGAACACATTCATCTCTGCATGATTTTGGTCGATGTCCTGGTCTCTACAGGGTGACCCGAATAATGCAAATTTCTAATTTTTGAAAGAACTGTCTCAAATATGGAAGAATGTTCATGTTTTGATAGACTGTTAAATGGAGCTAATGGTGGTGACTTATATTACAATATATATTTTACTTATAATTCTGATGTAAACTCAGCATGACTGAAATATCTTTGTCGAAAACCAATACTGTATCCAAAAACAATATTTCGTCTAAAACCTTACATCGATTGCTGCATCCAGTGCTTTAGAATAATTAAACTTCTTAAAGTGCTTGTCGTATGGTTCAAGTTTCTCTCTCCGTTTATGCTCCACTTTGTGCGCATCCTACAGATAAAAAAAGAATAACATAACCAAATTTGATCACTTGAAAACGTCTACAGAAGTGTGAAAGAACGATTGTTACTGACCAATTAGTGAATACCAATGTCAGGTGGTGATGAATTTTTTTAAAAATTGAAAAAAATGGTAATTGCGAGTCTGTGACTAAAGTTATCATGTGACTGACAACCAATCACATACAAGATTAAGAATAGATTTCCAAAAAAACTTGTTAAAGTAAAACACTAAACAGTCCACTTTTCAAAGCATTTTATGTAAATTTCACTTAAAATCTTACTTGGTATACATCTCAAGTATAACACTATTAGGGGGGTAAGTAACTCACCGCTGTAGGGATATATGTCTTATTCTTAACAATGTAACTGTAAGACTTTTTATGCTTCTTGACTTTTTCTGCAGTATCAGGCTTCCTGTGTTGAATCGAGAGAAGGCCACTTGTCATTCCAACTGCGATCAATTTGTCATTAGGCTAGAAGTGAAATAAAATAAAATAAAATGTATAAATATATAGTTTTGTTTTTGTCTTTTGCTTAGTCAAAAGATATGGGTATGTATAAGCTAGATTAGATTCATGACAACTTGTGCATGTAGTGACTAGATTCAAGACATGGATATGGATGTTTTAAATAAATTCATGATATCATAAGTGTATTATAACTGCTTCATGACATCATAAGCTACAATAAGGTGGGTCTACATTTCCAAAAAATAGCAAAATGTCAATATTTTATCTCGATTACATCATGGTCATGGTCAATTACATCATCGTAAATTAATTTCAGAATTCTCAATCATTAAACAATTTGTTGATTAATGATTTTTTATCTCAGATTTCTCAATCATTAAAAGATTTGTTGATTTATGATTTTTTATCTCAGATTTCTCAATCATTAAAAGATTTGTTGATTAATGATTTTTTATCTCAGAATTCTCAATCATTAAAAGATTTGTTGATTAATGATTTTTTATCTCAGAATTCTCAATCATTAAAAGATTTGTTGATTAATGATTTTTTATCTCAGATTTCTCAATCATTAAAAGATTTGTTGATTAATGATTTTTTTATCTCAGATTTCTCAATCATTAAGATTTGTTGATTAATGATTTTTTATCTCAGATTTCTCAATCATTAAAAGATTTGTTGATAAATGATTTTTTTATCTCAGAATTCTCAATCATTAAAAGATTTGTTGATTAATGATTTTTTATCTCAGATTTCTCAATCATTAAAAGATTTGTTGATTAATGTTTTTTTATCTCAGAATTCTCAATCATTAAAAGATTTGTTGATTAATGATTTTTTATCTCAGAATTCTCAATCATTAAAAGATTTGTTGATTAATGATTTTTTATCTCAGATTTCTCAATTATTAATTCTATAATTCTTAATTTATTAATTCTATAAAAAGTATGTACAAAAATGCAGCATGACAAATACCGAGACATCTTATTCGAAGAGTGTTGACTGATAAAGCTTCTCTTACAACAAATGAAACAAAAGAATACCATATAAGGAGGATAAATAAAAGGATCAGGAATAAGACATACTTGAGCGAACAATGAGTAAAGAAAGGTGATTGATATTAGACATCAATAACAGGAAATTGAGTCAAACATGATGATTATTTTTAAATGCAAAATCTATATACAGATAAGATCAATTGTTTTTGTCCAATATGTCAGCATGCAAGGACTCAAAAGTATGAAGGTTGGAATGGATTAACGATTATTGAAGTAACCACATAAAAGAAAAAATTGATTACGGAATTGGGTGTATCGGTTTAGGCCTATCGGTACCAAGTACATAAAAACCCAAGTTGAAGGAATCTTCATTTGCTGAAACAAAATCCATAGCACATGATATTCTCATTCACCAGCAACAGAGATGTTTTTTAACATCAGAGAAAATTTGGTCAGACAAATGAAGAATATTCTGATTTTGATTTCAGCTTTACACGTGACAAATGGTCAGGCTGTATCGACTTCAGGGCAGTTGTTTGCGTATCATGGAGATTTCCGGGGAGCCATTCCGTTTGATAGCTTAGAAGCTTCGAGCGTTAACGTTTGTGCAACTTTCTGTGCATCAAAAAGCAACCAATGTACGTGTTTCAGCTACAATACATTAAAGGAATGCCGTCTCTTAGAATCAGCAATAGATGGCGCTGTGATAGCAGTACCAGACTTGGAATATGTTCTGTACTGTAATACTGGTGAGTAAATTGAGTTTGAAGAATGTTCCATGAAAACTTGTCTTCGTGGAACATATTTGGTAACTCTAAAGTGTTCCACTTCTAGGTGTTCCACTTTACAGTCTTCTCTGTATTTCATTCCCAATAATTATTCAGCATAATTAAATTAAATCTTTTTTTTTTTTTTTTATATTTCCTTTATTTCATAATACATCATACAAACAGATACAAGGCCTACGCCGAAGCATTATTGGCCCTGTTAAAGTAGTTACAATATAGGTTAAAATAGGTCACAATGTAAAAAAAAATGATAGATATAAAACATATTTATGAACATGAAAATAATCGTGAAAACGTGAAGAATATTGGACTATTTGACTTCCTTGACAATAGAGTGTAAAAATTCGGCAGTTAATTCAATAGCCTTTTTATTTGTAATTGTGTCAAGAGAAGGATCTGCAAAAAGTAGAAACTCTACCCTGTCTTCCTGTTTTCTATTATTAAAAGAGTTTAAATTAAAGGATGGCAGTCTCCCTAGTTCTCTGTGAAAATTGAGTCTTTGAATGTTAAAAAGAGGGCAATGGAGCAATAGGTGTTTGGTTGATTTATTATTTGGTTTGGTTTATTATAAATGAAATCTATTCTTAATAATATGTTTATCATGCACTACTAATGTTCTAAATCAAGATTAAATATGAATTGTTTGCATTTTTGATTTCATATCTAGAATAAAGCCACAAATTCTAAAAACAAAGCAAAAACAATAGATCGACTGGTTTACTCGTAATCCATCCTCACCTAAAACCCACTAATTGTGAAATACCAGCATCATTTTGAGAGTACCTGGGTATACAAGAACTGTTTATAAAATATATGTGAAACATATTCTTGAACATTGAACATTGGTTCATTGTTTATGGATTTCACGAACAATTCTTGAACTGTTCCGAAAACAAACTTCAAATTCTCATATATTCTTTTATCCAGATGTGGACATCTATGTACACAATTACATTGGATGTTACGGGGATACAGGTGATAGAGATTTGCCATATAATACAAATAAACCACCTTATTTAACGCCCCAAGTTTGTATAGACACCTGCCGAAACCTTAACCAAGGTAAGGAAGCCCACAACATGTTAAAATCTTTGCCTAATGAAAATATTCTAGGTAAAATATTTTTTTCTTTCTTATAGGCCCTTCTTATATTTTAGAATGAGGTAAAATTTTGGCAAAATGTATTTGGAGTGAAAGTTTAAATTTAAAAAAATAAGTTAATGAAAATGTATACTCTATTATAGTATTTTTGCATAAACCATTGTGAAGTTTTTTCTTTAGTGGGTAACACAGACTCATAATAAAATGTACATGTAATTCATCTTCAACATTCCTTGCAGGGTTCCTATATGCTGCCGTTCAGTTTGGCACCGACTGTTTTTGTGGAACAAGTTATGGGAAATATGGGCCTTCAACATCTTGCACTTATACATGTGAGGGTGACCCCCAGCAGACATGTGGAGGTTTCAATGGAAATGAAATATATGCCATCTAAGAGAATATATGACATTGTGAAAATGTTTGACATCTTATAGATTAAATTCAAGGAGAATGTCTGACACCAAGAAAATATATGACATTTAAGAGATGTATGGCATCAAGAAAATCTATGACATTGACATTTAAGATAATATATGGCATTGTGAAAATGTTTGACATCTTATAGATTAATATCAAGGGGAATGTCTGACATTGTGAAAATATATGACATTTAAGAGAATATATGACATTGTGAAAAAATTTGACATCTAATAGATTAAATTCAAGAAGAATGTCTGACACCAAGAAAATATATGACATTTAAGAGATGTATGACATCAAGAAAATCTATGACATTGACATTTAAGATAATATATGGCATTGTGAAAATGTTTGACATCTTATAGATTAATATCAAGGGAAATGTCTGACATTAAGAAAATATATGACATTTAAGAGAATATATGACACTGTAAAAATGTTTGACATCTAATAGATTAATATCAAGGAGAAAGTCGGACACCAAGAAATTCAAAATTTATGATATTGACATTTAAGATAATTTATGACATTTTACACAATGTATTACATTTAAGAGAATATATGACTCAAGAAAACTAATGCCATTGACATATATGAGAATCTATGACCCCAACAAAATGTATTCAATACAGTTGCAAATGTTCTAAGATCGTACCTAAAACATAGCAGTATGGGCTTGATAACCCAGAAAGCAAGATGGTTGCCAAAAGTTAATCAGTTCTAGAACTTTTTACCATATAACATGTGTGAAAATTTGAAGTAAATTCATTAAGCGGTTTTCCTTGAATCGCGATGACAAGATCTATCTAAAAACTTCCAAGATGGCTGCCAGAATGCAGGATGGCCACCAAAAAGTTAATCAGCTCTATAACTTCTTACCATATAGCATGTGTGAAAATTTGAAGTAAATTTATTGAGTGGTTTTCCTTGAATCACGATGACAAGATCTATCGAAAAACTTCCAAGATGGCTGCCAGAATGCAGGATGGCCACCAGAAAGTTAATCAGCTCTAGAACTTCTTACCATGTAACATGTGTGGAAATTTGAAGTAAATTCATTAAGTGGTTCTCCTGGAATCGTGATGACAAGAAAGTGAGATGCCGCCCAGCCGTCATGCAATTGACAATATCGTAACTTTTTTTAGGTACAGTAAAAATAACCAATTTAGAACTTCAATGTCAAAAGATGATCAATAAAACACACAAGATAAAAAATCAATGATGAATACAAAGTAACCAATACTTTAAGCAACCTGAATAGAAGTTCAGAACAACATGCTGACAAGGTTATTATCAGCCATATGTAATGTTGCACGTGTGCTTTAATGTGACCAGGTTTTCCTCAGAGCCAATAGGCAGTAGAGGGGTTATAGGTAATGGGATTCAATTGACTTCATTGATTGATTGATTGATTTCATTGATATCCCGTCATAGCCCTAAAATGCATTTTGCTGGAACATTTTTTTTCAACACTGATACAAAATTCCCTGACATTTCCCTGCCATAGCTACTGTTTTAAAATTCCCTGACATTTTTGGCTTTTTTTGACCCAATTTTAAAATTCCCTACCATTCCCAGTACCTGGAAAAAGAAATCAATTTCCCTGGCATTTCCAGGTGTGTACGAACCCTGTATCTTAAACCCCTTTAGTGTAATATCCCCATCTTCCAGTTTCTTACCCCTACCCCCAGGTATCTTTCCACTATGTATCTCACATGCAACCTCCCCTCCCCCAACCTAAAAAGTATCTTACCTCTACCCCCACACTCAGGATGGCATCAGGGTAATCCATCGAGTGAACCACTTGGTAGGACGCAATATCATATATCTTTACATGTCTGTAAAAAATCAATGCCTGTTATATATAACATGTCCAAGACATAAGATAGCATCATGCGTCATGATACCAGATGGTGTCAGGTATATGACATTATTATGAGGTAAACCAAAAATACAAGAAAATCAACAATGAGTTTAATGGTTTAAAGTGTCTCACATATTCGATCAAAATTTGCCATGCAAACATGTTAGTCTACTTTACTGGCCCCCCTTGCTGTAACAAGGAACACAAAACACATTTAAACGTAAACATAAACCAATTAGTCAGACGATCACTTCACTATGAAAATTAGGGGTGTTCAAGGCAAATGTGTATTAGCAGAATACACTGTGTGCATGGACTAACAATGGCAGTGGTCATTTACTGTGTCAACTTAGTAACCCTTGCATATCGTGCTCACTCAAGTATTGAATAATTTTTTTATGATCTAAATGTTTGTGGTTTATAAAAAAAATGTGATATATTTTAGTTGGAAATACATTAATAAATATATTCATTCAAACAGCACTAGAATGCGGGAAGAAAGAGCAATGGTGACAAAATGCAGACAGAATTTTCCGTAAGGGTTTCAAACATTTCTGGACACAATCATACATGTACTTCATGTGTACTGTTATTTTAGTGCTGTATTTATAGATATAATTTCACGTATTAAAATCATATTTTCCAGCAATGACTTCAAATTCGGAACCACCCCCATATCACATTTTCTTCAATAACTCCAAACATGTGTAAACATTGACAATGTGCATATAAATTCAGATTTCACGAGCTCTTTCCTATTCAAGTACCTCATACACCCCTGCATGGATTTGAGTTGGATTCGCCTTTTATATGTGAGCCGGTACACATCGCAAACGCTGATTGGATAAAGATTGCGAGAATCTTTAAGTGTCACTATGATCAAATCAATAACACTGATGGTGTCAGACGTCATAATGGTGTCAGGAACATGACATTTTATGAGATAAACACAAGAATACAAGAAAATCAAAATTATTTTGAATGCTAAGAGCGTCATTATGACCCGTCATCTCAGATATCCATTCTATAGACCTCACTCTGGACTCTAGCGGAGAATAACTTCCGCGAGTCTCCCATCAGATTCGCCTTTTTCTCCTCATAGATGACTATGTTGATGACACAGTATTCATTTCCAAATTTGTAGAGCTCTCAAATATTTTGAAGAAATAATCAAGCATCCTCCGATCACAGGGCTTCAAAATCCAGAATATATTCTTTCTTTTTACCCCCTGCTATAAGCAGTTAGCATTTCCCCGATTAAGAACTCGACTCGCAATCTGATTGGCTGTCGCAACACTGCGACAGAAGTCATTGCGCATAATTAGATCATGTGATTCAGTTAAATCGGGCGCTTCCAAATTGGTTATAGCAGGGGGAAGAAGGAGGTACGGATTCTGGACACCTGCTTAGGAGGATGATAATCAAGCTAATGGTTCATTGTTCAATGTGTCAATTTTACAATACAGAATACAAAGAAATCAAACATTTTATTTTTGCATATTGAAGAATTTATGCATTATATTAAAAAAGATTAACTAAAGACTTTTGCCTTTATAAGGTTGCACATTTTGGTTTTGTATAGGGCTATACAATTGACTATGCCTATGTATGGGTATACCTGATTAAGAATCCAATTAATAGTCTCATTGAATATTATGTCTGAATTAATGTCTGATTGAATACTGTTAACTGATTTCATCATATAACGTGGCTGATAATGCTGATGCCCAGCCACAAGCACATGTGCACTTGTTTAATGTATTACTGTAAAACGGGTATTGTTAGCAAGGGGTAATTGTTAGCGATCGCTATAGTTTCGCTAATACTTCAATTCGCTAAAATAAACCGGGGTTAAAATAAACCGGGTGCTAAAATTTGCAAATTCCCGGGAAAATATATGAATACTAGTATTTAAGGAGCTTTTCGTTCAGTGCTCGACTTCCAGTTTGTAATTTGAAAAAGGTAAATATTTTTAAATCGTATGTTTCTTTCAATATTTTAAATGCTACCGTGATTTTGTGATTAGTCAGATGAGATTACAGTAGTTTGGACCAATACCATGTGTGTTAGAAGTCTTACATTTTGATAATTCCTCTGTCATGTCCGTTATTCATTCTTCTGCCATAAATGATAAAATTTCTAATGCATTTCGCTAATTTGATTTTTTAAGATTAATCTTCATTTCGCTAAAATTTCCCGTGCTAAAACCCCCTAAAATTGAAAAATCGCTAAAATTTCCCGGTGTCAAAATTACCCGTTTTACAGTATTTGTAGAAATATATAAATAAATAAAAATAAATCGTCTCACAACAGGATTTATGTCTATATAAGGTTGTATAAGATTGACTATGCCTTTATAAGGTCATACCTGTCTAAGGATCCAGTGAACAATCTCTGGTGGTTACTCCCAAAGCACATACACGTCACTGTCTTGTGATGGTTGCTCAGATTGGCTACAAGTCTCCCGCCCGCTAGTACATCCCACACCTTGACCACAGTGCCACCTATATTTAATAAAACAATGAAAGAAAATGTCATCACCCGGTATAGACTAGGAAGTCACTGTTTACAAAAGTGTAGAAATTGTAACAGATGTCAGCAACTGGTCACAACATCAACAGTGGTTTAACACTATATCACTGATTCTTTATGGTAACATAAGATGCCATTCATCAATGGCCCAAAACATTATAAAAATATATAAAATAGAGAACACATACAATGCAGTGCCTCATTATACAGTATATGTATACAGATTCTTTGTGGTGACATTAGAATGCCATTTATCCATGGCCCTAAACAGTATAAACATATAAAGCAGATAACACATACAATGCCTAATCATGTAGTATACACAGATTTATAGTGGTAATGTTAGAGCAGGCCCGTAGCCCCCTGGCCAAAAATTCTTTCAAAATCATGCAGTTTTTCACCATTTTGAGCACTTCTCAAGTGATTTTAGCCATATTTGGGCCAAAATTGTAAAATGTGAACCCCCCCTGGAAATTTTTGAAAAATGAACCCCCCCCCCTTGGCAAATCCTGGCTACGGGCCTGTAGAGTGACATTATAATGCCCAAAACTCTTAAGAGTTGCAAGTCAGATGTATCACTTTTCAAGAAAAGGGGATTCCCCATTTAGTTACTGGAAAATAACATTATCAAACCCTATCTTGGGAATTCTGAATAGCTGCCACTTCCAAGAAGTTACATAAGAGCACAAATAGATGTACAAAGTGGATATTTTATACTGTAAACTACATTTAAATTTTATTATGTAGAACAAGTGGTCAAACATAGCGATTGCATCTTGGGATTGAATATTTGGAAAAAATGGTAGTAATTTAGTAATTCAATACAAATTTTACACTTTATCAACATGGAAGTTAGTAATAGTAGCAGTAGAAGGAGTAGTAGTAAGAGTGGTAGTTCTGACTCTGAGGGTTCAATAGAATGGCAAAGTCCTGTTGTAAACACACATTTAATCAAGAAAACCCTCACTGCAAATGAGGAACAGCAACTATCTCATCATGTAACTGAAATACACAGTAGTGATAGTTCAGATTCAGACTCCCCTGAATGTCAATATACTCCCGTACCTCTGATCAAGAACACTCTCACTGCAAATGAGGAACAGCAACTATCTCATCATGTAATGGAAATACACAACTTGGCTAAACTGAAACACAGCCAGGAAGACATAGACAGCCATGTGCAATATATCAGGACTCGTGTTATACAACCAATCCTTGATAAATTCAACAAAATGCACCCAGCATTAGCAGTAGATGATGTACTACTAAATGGAAGCATGTCAAATAGAAGTAAAATAGAAATGCCATGCGAGTGTGACTTTGTACTCCCCATGGGTCTCTCCAGATATGTTGTGATCTCGGAAACTGGTTTAAAATGTTGGTTTGTAAAGTTACCTGATGATCCTCACACTGATTTACTAAATCTCACTAAGATTCATCCAAGGGTAATAAAAGACACTTTATTTCCAAATCGAAATCATGTGATAGAATCGGGTAATTCATTTGATCCAGAATATTTAACCGAGTCCATTATTCATAAAGTTGTTGCAGAGTGTTTATCACAACTACATACTGAAGGTGTACTGATCTATAAGGGAAAGGAATTTCTGAAGAATAAGCCTGTAGAATCATCTCAGCTGAAAGAGTGTGAAGTCATCTTAGACGAGTTAACACATGGTCCCTGCATCCACCTCAGGGTGTGGGGACCATTGTGTGTAACAGACATAGATCTGGCATTCTGTCTGAAAATACTCGATATACCTCAGCTGTCTTTTTCAGAAGACACTTTTTATATGGGATTGCCTATGAGACTTAGATGGGCGAAATCATTCTATGAGAAACCACACTTGCGAGCATCCAGGATAGATGATCGTCACAGGATTATACTGAGAACACTGAAATATATTCTATCGCAGTATGAAAAGAAAATTGATGATGATGGTGATGATAAAATACAGGTAGATTCACATGGACTGATCACCATAGAATCACAGTATAAGAATTCACTTGATGATGATGATGATAATAAAACAGAGTTTCATTCCCATGGACTATTCACCATAGTGAGATACCACCAGGAGCAATGTGACAGCAGAGTTGATGAACCATCCATAGGGAAATGCTATGGTGATATCACGCACAATCTATGCAAACTGGTGCTTAGATCTGTAGAGAATACAACACAGGTTGAAGTAAGTGACAAATGGCTTGAAGATCTCTTTGATAAAGACTGTCCTGATATTGAAATCTATAAATCAGGTGGAGATAATATATATACCATTGCAACAAGAATATTCCTACTTGCTGTGCACATCTTAACAGAACTACTGAAATCATCATGTATACATTCTTGAGTTCTACAATGAATATCTGAAGCTGGTGTTTAGAGAGTGTGATCTAGAATACATGAGACAACTTGTACTCGAGCAGCCCTGGGAGTATGCATCTAGTCAAAGGGAAAAGGGAGGGAAGATGGAAGAGATCTCATCTGAAGAGGATGTAAAGGAATTAATCAAATATTATAATGTTGAAAATTTTTATGATTATTCAGTTGTGGTTGACACAGAGAGAATTATGTCAAGACTGAAAACTAAGATAACCTCACTGCAATCAACCATTCAATTTCATAGCAGTGAACCCGGTGCAAGTGAAGACAATACTGAGCTACAGTGCAACAATAGGAGAATATAGTAACGTGAATGTGAACTGAGGTGCAATGTTACAGACCTGTTTTATACAATAATGACTTAACTGCCCCCCCTCTCTCTCTCTCTTTGATATATGCAGGTCTCATTTAATATTAGATCATTGGTTTGCAGTGAAGGTATACGGCCAGTTGACCTTATAAAAAGTCAAAAAAATTCACCTTATATTAGATAAGAGGGACTGGCCTCATAAGACTTGAGAATGTAAAACTGGATATATGTCAGCATATAATGTAGACAAATGTTATATCACAGACATCATTTGCTAATTATAAATTTATAGGATATATACGAAGTGGCTAAACATACACAAAGAACTACACTGCTGACTGTTTTTTGTCACTTTTAATTAGTCTTTAGTATATTATCTAACTACTACATACATGTACATTAAATTGACTGTGCTAGGGCAACCTCCAAAAGTTATAAGGATATCTGATATCTAATACCTAGCAGTGATCTCCACATGATTTTTTTCTCAAGTGGGTGCAAAATTCTAATTTTCACAATTCAGACCAAAATTGGTCAAAATATGCCAATTTTTCATGATTTTTTCTCATTTTCAAGAGGGTGCAAATGGATTTTCAGGTGGGTGCAAGCCTATTTTCAAAATCTCAGGTGGGTGCTGCACCCACTTGCTTTAATGCTGGGGAGATCACTGCCTAGTTTATCTTGATACTGATTCTACTGAAACCAGATACATAACACTGACATGAGATTTTTCATGATACTTGCATTTAGGATTGCGTTATATTATGTGTCAACATTTTGGAAAATTGTAACCAGTACATTGCATATCTTTATATTCTATGTTTGTATATTGTGTATTTAGATTTCAAAATATTCGCAAACTGCCTTTGAAGAGCCTTGTATTCATATTTTCTGAAACGTAGATGTCACCATCTATGACATCATCACTTGAGACACGACTTACCCGCAGAGATGAAGAGTCCTCCAGAAGGAAACATCAGAACACTCTCAACTGGTGCCCCATGGTCTATTGTGAGAACACTACTGTCTGTTCTTGTATCAAATAGCCTCACTGTATGGTCATATGCCCCTAGAAATAGCAAATAACAGTATAATATTAATAAAATTATTTATAATACATGTTAGGGGCAGTGCCTGATTATCATCAGTTGTGGGAAAACAAAGTTAAATTCATAATAGATTGACCCTCCTGTCCCTCCCCACACTTCATCAAACAAAATTTTACAATGTTGATTAGTCTTTCACTAAAATATTAACAACAAAAAGCATCACTATTCGCTAAGGAAAGCATAATTTACCCCCTCCCCCTAACGAAACTAACTTAATTATTCAACAACTGCTGATATTTGGACTAATGCCAAAGAACTTGGTCTATTCTGCATGATAAAACAAGAAAAACATTAAATGTAAAAAAGTCATGAATTAAAGTACAAATAAACAAAAGAATGAAAGAAATCATGAAAATGAGCAAGAATATTTGAGTAAGGGTGACATCTTTACTTGCATAGAGGAAATAAATCCATGAATCATTGACACAATTGTCTTTCTGCCCGTGCCTTTTCTACTCATTTTCCTCTAAAATTTGAATAAAGTTTTAATTGTGTTTTCATTTCTATACAATTTAGAGTGTTTACGACATATCAGTTTACTTTATTTGTTGTTGTGTCCACTTTTTTCTACTTAATTCCATGTTTGAAATCTTAACTGCTTTCTAGTTACCTGTCAGAACAATATTTTTGCTACGCTGGCTAACTGCTCCGCATCTTATATAATCTGTATGCTCGTTGTATGACATCACCTCACTCTCACTGGGTATATCCCATAATTTCACTGTCTTATCATCGCTACCAGAGAGAATTTGTAGATTTCCAGTGAGGAATTTGCTGACGTGGACAGGCCTGAAATCAACATAATGAAAATATACATATATTTTTGATTAAAATATAAGACTCGCATTAACGGCGTCCCGTACATGTTAAGGACTCAAAAATAATTTGGAGGATGCAAAAATTGAAAATATTTCCGTTTTTTGGACGCAAATTTTATTTAGGTCAATACTACAATGTGCTTACAACGATACCTAACAAAAACAAATAATTGTGATCTCTCACCTTTATTTGAATCGTAAATAAGGCTCAACATGTTGAATATTTACAAATAATCATGATTCTCTCGAATTTTTTCGACTTTGTTTATTTTTAGATTTGAAACCATGACACGCCACAGTTTTTCCTATTCAGAAACAAAAATTAGATTATTCATGAAATAAAATGTATTCATTGTCGAATGAACGAACATGCATTTATTCAGTCCGTACTTAACGTTTACTTCCGTTTAAAATTCGCGGCAAGAAATAAAAAAAACTGAAAATATGACAAGTAAGGTTAGAACATACATTCCCGAATCGGACAAAATTAACTTCAAGTTGTTTTGGTAAAAAATGCTTTTAAAATAAAGTTATACCTCAAAACAGGCTAGAAATAGGGGACACACTTTTTTTCAAAGGACACACTTTTAAAAAAAAATTGCATCCTTGGGACTCACAAATTTTCTAACCTAATGCAAGCGCTGATAAGATTTTAAAGTTCAACACCCTTCTCACCCTGAATGTCCTCTGAACGTCCTCAAAAGAGATTTCCCTGCGACATCAAATAATTTGACCATCCCTTCATCACCCCCTGCAGCAACGAGGAGTCCATCACTACGGAAACTACCACAATACGCCACCTGGCGGAATTTAGAAATTGTTTTCTCTGCCTGATTGGATCGACAGTTATAAATCTGGACCTGCAATAAACATAGAATCTAAGTCATAATGAAAAATGCGTCTTTGATTTTTAAAGTAAGCAGCAAAATATACAAAGACTGAATAGTCCGAATAAAACTACTAAACTCAAGAGACATTAATAAAATGTTGCGTTGCAGTTGCTGACTACTCTTTAACCGATCAAAATTGAGTCTTATGAAATGATATTTACCCTTGAGGAGTTTGTTACTGCAAAGTTGTATGGCTCTACTGGTGAAAAGTCAATATTTGTAACGGCTCCATATTCCTTCTTAATCACGGGGAACTGGAAATACAACAAATGCAAAATTATTTAATAATAAAGAAATAAATTAGGAATTTGCATCAATTATCAATACCTGGTAAGTTATTGCAAATTTGTAACAATAAGTTGCCGATGCTGACCACAGACTGCCAGTCACAAAAATGGCTTCTTAAAACTCTGACATAAAAATGCCAGATTTTTCAATTTCTAATTGTCCATTTTTCTATTAATGTCTTACTTTTTCATTTCTATGCTGAAGTTTCCATAAAAATTGAAATGAATTGTTTTCATTATATAGATGTCACTCCTGTTGTTCATGTTTAATTATGGAGCAGACGACATCATTACAAGCAGAGAAACAAATGTATTTTTGATTGTTCATTTATGATATATTTGCTACTAATCTAATGGTGACATTTCAATTTATTTAATAATTACTGATCATACGCAATAAATGTTGATCTATCAGGCTTAATCCAACGATATATTACAAGCAAACTGGGAATGGCCAACCCCTGAAAAAAATATCATGGAAACGGCAATGTTTTAAAATGAAAAATAAAGCGGAAAAGAGGGGAATTAGCAAGGAATAAAGTAAACAGGCATGAAGTCAATACTCCAAATTGTATAGAAATGAAAGAAAATCAGACACTTCATTCAAATTTTAGAGAGAAATTGAGTGAAATTGGCATGATCAGAAAAAATTTAATAGACGTTCCAGTGAGAAAAATATTTTTGTAATGAAATGAGAGGAATCAGCAAGTGATAAAGTAAACAATCATGAAGTAGCAGTCCAAAATCTTATAGAAATGCATCACTTTTTATGGATCCACAAATGCAAAATTTAAATCGAATATCTAAGATTACGCAACATGGATCAAAATGAAAATTTCTAAAAAATAATATCAGATTAAATCTTTGTGTCAATTTGCGGAACATGATATTTTGGGAGGGTTGCATGAGGCTGACTGAGCCACAGGCCTTATAATGAAAGTCATTAGTTTCTAATGATAAATATGCATGTCAAAACAGAGTTTTAAGTCTATAATGCGCCAATATCTGACATTAATTGTAACTCCAAAGTCACAATTTGAGATATTGAACTCACTGCGAGGCACATCAAATTAATCATCCAATCCGAAAAATTCCAGCGAAAAAAATTCCAGCGATTTCCAAGTTTTTCACCCGTTCTTACACAACATAGAATTCATAAAAAAATCAAATTCTCATTTGTAAATATAACAAGGTTAAAAATGCATGGGGTCAAATCAAAAAATGATCCCTGATATATATTTAGGATGACAAAATGGTACTGACCCAAGGGGGGGTGTTAATTTCTAATTATAAGAAGCAAAAACTGCACTTACATGCTGTTGTGTAGCTCTTTATACATTTTGTAAATTGTCAATTAATCTTAATTCATAACAAGATAAACTAAACCTAATTAACAATTTAATTGATATTAAATGTATATTGAATCGGTTATGATGTCTTTTTAAGTTAATTAAAGGTGTTTTTGATCAAGTTCTATTTATACATGTACAAAAAATCATAATGACCTTACATGTTCTTAATAAATTGCACGTAATCAATTGTAATTTTTCTTATTCAAAGATTCAAAACATTTGACAAACAATTGATATTGACAAAAATCTTGTTTGAGGCATATTTTAGAAATAAGGCCAAAATAAGCCCTAATTTTACCCTTGGTGTCTCAAAATTAATATATACTGAATATTTTACCTGACACCCTGTTTTCACTCAAATTTCTCATTTTTAATATTGCAATTTCTCAATATATGATTGGATGAGTTAGATCGAAGGATAATTTCTTATTGTAAGAGGGCAGATGAAGATTTCAGTCAAACATTTTAGAAAGGGTAAGTACTGGGAAAGATTATGAGTAAGAACCAGGCATATTTTGACAAACCCTGTCTAAATATCATATTTGTCCTTGCCTATACCATGCTATTTCTCCAGAAAAAATGAACAAACTTTCTGATTTTCTGACACTCCTCTACAATTTAGTACATAACTTAATATGTGTCTTATTAAATTCTCATAATTTTCTCTACTTTTTGCTTTATTTTGCATTTCAAAATATGACGATAAACATTTTTCTCATAGGAGCTTCACAAATCAACAGGCATTGGTTTTTGTATTCTTTAATAATATTTACATTTAACACCTAGTATAGATTTTGTTATCTGATAGTTTATCTTAAATGAGATCTCCACCTCAACGAGGTTGATGACTTATAGCCTTTGGGTACAGCATTTAAAGGCTCATATTTGATTCTACATATAAAAATGCACAATTTAAAGCCTCATATTTTAATTAAGATAGATATCCAGATTTCGAAGATGGTGCTTTATGTCAGGTGTTTTTATTTACCATAACTTTGTGTATTTACCATGATGAGCTCTCAGACTCAAACGAGCCATGTTTCAACCTAAACCATTGATAATGTAATATAATATACCATGACCAGCAATGAAATTACTTTGACCATGGTGGCACAAGATTATTTTGTCATTTTCTGACCATCATCTATTTTGTTTTTTTTCATGGCCAAAGTTGACCATCAAATACCATGATGGTATTTATCGGGATTTCATTGTAATGTTCATAGTAAGACCATGGTATGCCATATAGGTTGATGGCATTTCATGATGACCATCAAATACCATAATCATGCAATGGTATTTCTGACTATTTTACTGTCTAGCATATTATGAAGTTTCATGGTTGATGATGGTCTTTCATAGCTTTTAATTGTAAGCTTGACATTTTCTGCAGTTGCTTGATTTGGTTGTATCTTGGTTACTGCAATGTATTGGCAACCAATCCTGATTGGTTTATTGCCGTATTTCCATATTCATCTGCACTAATACACAAATAAATTACTAATTTTTAAGGCTAGCTAAAAAATTCAAGCACCTGATCGGGTCTCCCTGCCTGCATGAGCGTTTAACACTAAATTTCAAATTTCAAAGATTGTATCATCTAGAGCAAAAAATCATTGTTCATTGATCTTTCCTGAGCACCTACTTTTAGCTATTTTTCAGTCACATTTTCAGAGGGCTGAAACAGTTATTTCATCATGTTTATGGTCATTCTGACCATTTCCATTGTGTTCCCAGTCATGTAAATGATATGTGGAACTAGTTAAACTGACTGGAGGTCCAAATAGAACTCTGTTATCTTGGTTCAAAAATTTTCAAAATCCAGCATGGTTTTGTCACTTTTTGTTTTGTCATTTCCTGTTAACTTCCATGGCACCTTAAAGTGCTCACCATAAATAAATGACACCTGGATTTTCTATCACCATTTCCAGACCATGGAGATTTGAGACTTCATACTTTCCAATAATGTCTAGAAGATACACAAAACATCCCTTAAGTTTTGTATACATGTATTTTACATTTTGTATACTCTCATCCACTAATGTATAACCTCTTGAAAATTCTCTTCTTTTTAACATGGGAAATCCTCACTTCAGCAAATCCAGGTCACTACCAAAAGTCAATGGTAAACTTCATATGCGCCATTTTGTCGAATCCTTTGATTTGATTGGTTACCTTAAAAAACAATATGGCCAACAAGGAAGTAAAAAAATATGAAATTGATTAATCTTAAAAATGTGATTTATCTGCATAGCTTCTTTAATTTAAATCACGAATATATCAGGCAAAAGTGTAACTGCACACAATGCTTGCATATTTTGAAATGTAACTATCGCATATATTGTCTAAAACCTATTAAATTACTCAGATGCGAGTAGGTAGTTCCCAGTTTTGCTACCAGGTGGCTGATTCGGGGGAATTAACATGGCAGGGTATTACAAAATTCCCTTAAACTTGAAAATGCATCAGTTTTAGTGGTTCACTTTTCATATTACCCTTATGTATCTGATAGTGATACAAATTAAAATATGTCCAGTAAAAGAAAATATTATCTGCCCAACACAAGAAAAGATATTTCACTTTTTGTGGTTTTACAACATTGGGTCTATGGGGAATCTCCCCGACCTAGAAGTCACATTTTCAAAGAAAATTAAATTTTCAAAGTTTTTTTTTAGTTTTTTTATTCAAGTTTTAGATTTACATTATAATGTAAGGTTACATGATAATACAGTTAATACAAATATAATTAGGGCCGCTCATTTTTTTATAAGAATGTATATAAGGGGGTTACAGGGGAGGGAGAGGCTATAATACTAGATCTAAGTAAAGTGGGTCAAAACATCAAAATGTGAGATTTTCAAAGTTGATTTTCAAAGTTCATAAATTCTTTTCAAAACCACATTTCCAAATGTAATTTTACATGTAGATTCCAAATATGACACCAGTTTGACTGAATTGTGAACTTTTAATGACGTAAATCAAGATTATTTCTACTCGCATCTGGGATATTGACGTCTTCAAAACAGGAATTTACTCCAATTTGAGTGGCAATTTTCTCAAAAACCGGAGAAAATCGGAGCTTGATATCTTACAAAACCACATTTTAGAATGTGTTTATTCAGACAAATGTGTAAAATTAAAGGTTCATGAAGGTTCAAGACTCGAAATAAGCAGGTAAAGTATCCCTCCTCGCGACTTTCTTGAAGAATAGACAGCCATTCAGCTGTGAAAAGATCGAAAATACTTACATCTTCAATCATTTAAACTTATCCCGCCATTTGTTTAGGATGTTGTGCCTCCAAAGCAAGAAATTTAGACACGATTACGATGAATAACCCCTCCTATTTCCATGTTAAAAATGTGGGGTGACACCGTAATTGAAACAAAAGTTGTTTCTTCCGGTGCACAGTGCATTGACCAATCAATGGATCGGAATCAATAAATCAGAGGGTAATCTGGCAGAGAATCGTCGATTGAAATTTTCCACGCCAATTCTAGCTGAAACTCATTCTAATCTACGATAAATACTGCATATGTTTGATAAAAGATATTATCAGATGTAAGTATAAGGTGTATATATTATATATATAATATATATATATTATTGTATTAAATAAAACATGATAAAAAAGAAAAAAAAAAAAAAAAAAAAGTATAAGGTGTATTTTAAATATAAGACCGACATTTATGCTTTGAATTATGACATTTGAGATCGAAAAATGCAAATTAGTCTGGGGATAATTTTCCATTGACTTTTGGTAGAAGTGCAGGTGTCATTTATTCATGCCAGAATTGTAAAACAGTAGAGAGAAGAGAGTAGCAAATTCACGTGTTTGAATATTTTCAAGAAAAAATCTATTCATAACTTCAAATCGTCAGAGCGGGTGGCCCATTTGCATTCTGAACCTCAAAGTTTTTGGTTAGTTGGGGAAAAATCCGAGAAAGAAATTCCTACCTCTAAATTCTTCCAATACACAGCATCCCTCGTGATTTTCTCCCCGATTTGTGGAAAATGTTTCACGGAAGTTCGCTTGTAGGAGGTCGCCATCTTTAAAATAGTCTCGAAACTCATGTTGAAAGAAACTATATATTTACATGATGAGGACATAAAATGTATATGATATTGATAACTAAGTAATATCAATATATTTTTTCTTGATATTTTGTATAAAAAATATAATATTGTGTTAAATCACTAGGAAAATAGAATTCCTTTTTATTTATCACGTGATCATAACAAAGATTGAATTGTGGGTATTAATAAAACGTGCGCGCGAGTCATTTGAGTAGATGGCTTTCTACTTAGTCCGTAAATTAGCAATTACCTTCTTATTGACAGTGCAGCTTTATTGTAAAGATGGAACGCAAAGATAACAGTCGAGACGGTAGCATTGTAAGAAACTTTTTCAATTTTTATTTTCTAATTTATAATCAATAAATGATGATTTTTCCGGGAAAGTTTTGGGGATTGAACATTGTGTGTCCATCAGTGTAAATAAATCGCTTGCGCAGATAGTTCATTGAGCTGAGTTTAGTTCGCACAGCAAGTACTGACTCACTTTGGCATGTCAGTTTCCAAGTAGCTTATAAAGCAATAATCACTAATTACTGGGGCATTTTCACATCAGGCATTTGATAAGCAGCAGTCGATCTCACAACATCACATTTACATTGGAGAAGTTTGGAACTTTTATTCACCTAGTAAAGTTTGATAAATACTTGATAGTTATGGCATTGATTGCAAGACCAACACCTGGGTTTGAAGGATTTAAGCCATTGGTATATTATCTGTATTTATATTATATATTCTAACACTGATATATATTTCTCAAAGAATTAATTAAAATTATTTTATTGATTAGTTATTATGGATAATTATTAATTGTTACGTAATTTTTCATATATTTTTATTTATAGGTGAATGAAGATTTGAACGGAGACTCAGATATGGACTCAGTGTCAGATGTCGCTAGTGAAGGAGGTCAGGAGATAAATAAGATTGACTCAGCAAAAATCGATCCCGCACATCGTGAAATTTTGGAGAAATTGAAACGTCAAGAACGCGAGGAGAGAGCTGAAATTGAAGAAGAGTTGCGAATTCAAAAAGAGGTTCTTGCACGTCATGAAGAATTCAGGGCTCGTGAAATCAGAATGGCACATGATCGTGAACGGGAACAAGATTTACGCAAACACGCAGCTCTAGATTTGCGGGATAAAATTCAATCACGCCCATTAAGCAGCACCCTTATGCCTCATGGGATCAATGACTTAAGTATGTATAAAGACAGAACAGTTATGGATCGTCCCCTCGATCCTTTCAAATCTGAACGATCAAGTCTTGATATGCTGACTCATCATGCAGCATATCTGGAAAGGGCCTACCCCCGCCCCTCTCCCCCACCCCCAGAAATGATGGGGGAGGGACCCGCCCATCATTGGACGTTTGAAGAACAATTTAAACAGGTAATTAATCTTTTCATATCTCTGTCTCATTATAAATGCAATTTACATTTTATTGTTGTGTTTTACTTCTTTGTATTGTGTCTTATCTATTATTTAATGGATGCTTTTGTCAGATCAAGGTTTATTAGCTATATCTAATATTGTTCAATATTTATATCAACTTTGAGATATTCTTTATACTTCCTTCTAGACACATAATTCAAGAAATATTTCATCCGAGTTTAGATTCAGATAAGAAAATTCTTTTATAGCTTCAAGAAATGATGACATTTTCAATTAATCACCAATAGAATTAAACAAACATAAATAAATCGAGTAACCTTTCATAATGGATTGGATTATGAATCGTCCAAATTGCCATTTTAATTACAATTAGAATCAATAATCATATATAAAAATGTCATCATATTTCTCTAATTTTTTATCACTTTTAAACAGATATGTTTAAGCAAATGATTAATACCGTAATTAGATACGATTGCGAGCTCACCTAATTTTATTGATAACAAAACAAATATCTATTTATTACAGAGTCTCTCAGTCATTACAATGCTTCTATCTATATGCATCTATTAACGAATTGATAAATTGTTCTATTATAACTTTTGACTTTAATTCATGGTGTTTTAATTTTTGATTTTCATTGTTCGTTGACTTTATCTAGATCTAATATCAAAAGCATTTAATTGCAATTTGCCCAAATTTCAAATTGTTTTTAGAAAAATTTCAATCATTACAGAAAACAAAGCCATTTGACAAACAGCTTTCAAGTTAATGAAATAAAGATTTTCTGTAATAACTTGATATGGGAATTTCTCTGATAATAGTGATTTGAATTTTAAAATTTATTTAATTACTGTTGAACAGTAATTACTATGTTACCTTAAACAAGGAACATCAAGAAATACTGAGAATCTAAAATAACATTTTGATTAAAATTGAAATATTTTCTCTCATTTGATTATGTTCTATGAGGACCGGTTTTTGTACAACAGGTTTTTATTGAGTTATATTTTTACCACCTTTTGATATCTTGGTTTATATTGTATTTTTTTATTATTTTGATTAGTATATTTCATACAAAAGCCATAAATTATTTTTCATTTAATACCCCGGGGAATTATAAGAGTCAACATTGAACACCTTGCAAATCGAATGCTTTCAAAAGAAACAATTATTAGCTTATGATATAGTATGACAGACTATCAGATCCACTTATGGTTGTATTGGTGAAACCCCACGGGACGAGCGACAAATTATATTAAGTTATAATCAAATGGAATATGGGTAGATAACTTGGCCCATTGGGAGGGGGACCTATAAACTCAAGTCAATTCAAAATATACATGATATCTTTCTTAATTATAACATGCATGTTAAAATGTAATCTCCTTTGCAAAACATTTCATCGGTCTGGTATTTATGAGTATTTACAAGTATTTTCCCGGAGATGTTCTCCAGACTAGAGATGTTTTATTAAAATACCAAATTAGGAAAATTTATAAGAATTTGTTTGATAAGTATTAATTAATAAGGACAGCATGACATTACAAAATTCAGAAACATATTTAATTGGTTCATTTTTGCTTGCTGCTAAAATTGTTAATTAAGAAACGAGTTGTTTCTAATAAAAAACAAATTACATCACAGAACCAAATATCAGAAGTTCTGATTTGATGCTTAGTTAAATTAGAATAATCATCTTTAACCTCTTATATATTAAATGAATAGACTTAAACTAAATTATTGTTCAGAATTATTACCAATTTATAACAGTTTCTTACAATTAAAGATAGATGCTTGAACACTGGAGGTGGATTCCCAGGCACTCCAGTCATAAATATAAATGTATTATTAACTTGCTATTTTTGTACAAAGGCACTTGGGAAAATCACTCCTTTGAATTGCAAGCTATTGACATCATGCCGACTTGTTAACTATTTATAAATATGTGAATTGAAAAAGAGAAGTCAAGAAAGAACCTTTTCTTTGGCAGTATTTGTAAAAAATGATATGATTAAACAAACATTTATCGAAACAGAACATATTATTGATTACTAAAATCAAATTAAATGTTACGTTTTAATTGATTCAATGATATGTAAGAGCCCTAACAAAAATGATAAATGAGGATTGCAGTTTTGAAATATTCTCTCATTTGTTCAATAATTTAAAAATGCATATAGGGAGAATATGACTGATTACCATTACCATACTCAAAAATTAATAACCATGCTTAAAAGATGTAAAATGTTTATTTGAAAGAGTATGTCTTTTTTTTAATTTTCTTTTACAGTGTATTTTTCAGAATGGTAGTTAAGGAAATATCTTCCAATGTTAAGAATTATATGGGGGTCACCCATTGCTTTAAAACGTGAAAATGAGTAGAAAATATTGGAAATATGGTCAATAATACAAAAATGCAAAAAAATGTGGACTTAATTATGACAAAAGAGAGAAAGTTTATGGAAAGGGCAAGATTTAAGTGTCATTTTTTGCAGGTACAATTAACATCCTTAGAAACAAGACAACCAATGAAAAAAGGTCAACAGTCATATTTCCAAACATGGAATAAACTAAAATTAAGTGAAATATACGAGGAATTGAGTAAACAGACATGTAGACAACACTTTATATTGTATAAAAATATCAAAAAATCAGTATGTTTATTCAAATTTTTAAGAGAAATCTTAGGAAATCAAAAAGCAGATGTCTGTTTTATTCAGGATGAGCACTTGATGCCAATTTCTACTTTATCTCATCGTATCCCATATATTTGAGCTCCAAATCTTAATGCTGTCTTTAATATCTCTGATATCTGGCTTTACATTAGCTCCCCACTTCACTTTGGCTAAATATAAAATAAAGAGCAAGTCAATTGCGTTTTTATCTGCATCTGATCACTCTCAGCGCATCGCAAATCTTGTATATTTAAGTATATCACATTATTCTTTAGGATGGCCACTCGAGGTAGATCTAAATATAAAGGAGATGTGGCATCCTTATCGCTCGAATGCGTGCTTCCATTTTCACCCCGTCCTTGCTCAATTCTCTAAATTTCTCTTCAAAATTTGAATGAAATGTTTAATTTTTTGAGATTCCTATACAATTTTGAGTATGCACTAAATGCCGGTTGAGTCCATTTCTCAATTTTTCCTCTTCTTTGTACTCTATTTTTAAATTTAAAATATGACGTCTTGAGAGTTTTAGATAGGATGCCCCCATTATAATCATCTTGTTAGATTGATATCATAACAGCATGTTCTAGAAGCATCAAAAAGTAAATTTATTGGCCATTAAATTGAATGGATAGATTATCTACATTAGAGCTCTCAAGGTTCAACTAATCTCTACTTCTTTGAGAGGAGATAGTTCTAGATTTAAGATTAATGAAGTTTACTGGGATTAAAAATTGCCACTTGGCTTTCAGTTTTCAACTGGTTTATGTGTAGATTTCCTGTTTAGACTTTGAATGGAGACTTTAATTTAATTGAATTTCTGTGCTATTCATATCCTCAATTCCATGCCTGTTAAGATAATTTCACTCGTATTCCTCATATTATCATGTCATTTCATCTTCTAAAAAACATAACCATGCTCTGCTATCTGAGCATCAGTTTTTCAAGAATATTCTCAAATATCAAAAAAATAAAATTAAGATAAATATTAGGGAAAAAGAAGAAATTTTGATTAAAGGCCCCATCTAAAGTTTAAACCACTTTGGCTTATATTGTAGTCTTACCCAATGTTATCAAAGTGTGATATGTGAAACTTTTTTTTTTAATTTCAAAATGTGGTTTTTGATAGACTTTTTGTTCCAAAATTTGTGAATTTATTTAAAACCAACTTTTAGAGGTCACTCATATCTTCTAATTAGCCACAATTCATACCAATGCATAGCATTCATCCTCCCATGTTTTTTGCCGAAAATTTTTTAAAAATCGGTTCATAAATAAGCGAGAAATGAACTTATCAGTGCATGAAAATGGTTCTGAGAAAAATGCATTTCAAAATTTTAGTTCTCATAGAAACCAATGGTACAATGATATCTAAAACATAATTTATTTTTCCTTTTAACCTGGTAAGACAATCAACATTGGTTTTTATGAAAGTCTAACATATTTAGAAAAGATTGACATCGAAAAAAAAATTTCAATTTTTTTCAAAAACTTTTTGGTACCTTAGTGACATCACTAATGTTTCAAAATATTTTTGATATGTTAAAACATTGAAGTGGCCCATTAAATATGGCATTTTATTATTGAAATAGTGTGTCCTTTGTTCAACCTTTGCATTGGTGTTAAAAAGATAATCTTTTTTGAAATGGATTAAGAAATATTTGATGATTAAGAAATTTCAACTTTTTATGAAAAATGGCGGGAAATTTGAATATTTGAGAAATGAAATGCTCACAACTTTTTTTTCCAAATTATTTTTTGTTCAAAAATCTCTAAAATCACTTTTTAAGTCCTGACAAATAGTAAATGAATGATAAAAAAATATTTTCAAACTTTAGACGGGGACTTTAAACATCATGAAATAAAGTTCTATTTAGATGTCAGAAAATGTACCCACAATCTCAATGACATTGTTTACAAAGGCACAATTCTTGGAGTTTTTCTATTGTCTTTAAATGTTCTGTAGAAAATAAACTTTGGCATATTTCATGCAAAGTGGCAGTTTTATGACCTGTACTTTGAATGATTTTTATTTTTTCATCAAAGATTACTAAAAAAGGATTATGCAAATATCGCTCATTATTATTTATTACGGGATTAAAATTTATATGTGGGTATAATTTATTTATAAGTTTCAAGAATGAAGTTTTTTGTAAAATTTATCACATCTAAGTTAATTAGATTTCCAGGAAAATGAGTCACAATGATGCAACATTAAAAAACAAAGTTCCTCAAACCCCTTCAAACCATAGCAAAGATACATGTTATCAAAACAAAAGTACATAACACATCTCCTCTCATCCAGAAAGCTACAGAAATCTC